TTCAGTAACCACCAGAGGCTCACGCCATTGGCAACAAGCGGCACCCTGCCTTGGCCTGGTGCCCCACTCACCTGCTCCACCATCCCGCCATTGCAATGCCCACCATGTTCCATGCTCTGCCAACTGCTGCCAACACCCACCATGTTCTGCGAGCACCCCTTGGTGGTCAGTGCACATCACAGAGACTGGTTGTTCGGTTGTTTGGTTGTTCCACTGTTCATTCTATTTGCATATTTATATACTAGAGGCCAAGTGCACAAAATTCATGCACGGTGGTTCCCTCAGTCCAGCCTGCACCCTCTCCATTGGGGACCCCTTGGGGGATATCCAACTGCTAATTTAGGCCCAATCCCTGTATCAGGCCTAAACCAGCAGTTGGACATCCTTCTCGCAATCTGGGACCACTGGCTCCTAACTGCCTCTGCCTGCCTGCCTGATTGCCCCTAACAACTTCTGCCTGCCTCCGTGATAACCCATAACTTCTCCCCTGCCAGCCTGGTCACCCCCAACTGCCCCCCTGCCACCCTGATTGCCCCTAATTCCCTGCTGGCCTGATCTCGCCCCCAACCGCCCTCCCCTGCCAGCCTGATCGCTCCTAACTGCCTCTGCCTCAAACCCCACCACCATGGCTTTGTCTGGAAGGAAGTGGGACACCTAGAAGATGGTTGGTCGACCCGGTCTAATTAGCATATTACCCTTATTTAGTATAGATAGATTACATAGGATAGGATTGCTTAAATGGGGGGGGGTGCTTTTTCATCAGGAGGAGATGCTCTTTGCAGACAAAAATACATAATCCTTATATCTGGATTGATAGCCAGCCATATTCACTATACTATTATTAAAAAATTAAACTGCTTTCTTACACCTTACACCAAACAGCTGTTGCCTTTAAAACCCCTCCTCAGCCCCCACCTTAGATTCTGCTTTAGCAGATCACCCAGATTAGGTTCTGATTGGTTGGTTTCTATGCCAGTCCACATCAAAAACTCTGCCACCTAGGTAGCCATTGGCTCTTCTGGAAAATCCAGAACAGCCCCACTGACAGCTGACTCTCACTCTGGGCCTGTCTCTGGGCCTGATCCGCAGCCTCCATAGCAGCTGCGGATCAGGCCCTGCCTCTCTCTCTCTCCGGGCTTCGCCAGCAGCCACAGCGGCTGCTGATCAGGACCTGCCTCTCTCCGGACCTCTCTCTAGGCCTGATCTGCAGCAGCCGTGGCAGCCATGAGGTCGTTAGGGGCCAGAGGCTAACAACCTCACTGCACCTGCCTTGCCCCCCCATCCCTCCACCGCCCCGCCAGCTTCCGTGCCATCAGCCTTGCTATGATAGGAGCCTGTGGGCCTCAAGAGAGGGACGGAGAAGTGCTCCATGCACTTCCTGGTGACTGGTCATCCATCTGGTTGTTTAGGTCATGACGGCCCTAGGCTATTATTAGTATAGATAGAAACAGAATGTGCAAAATTTTAGATGTAATCATCATTCTTAAGACTTCCTATCTTAAATTTAGAAGTAAGAAACATAAGCTTTTATTTTATATATATATATTATTGATTTTTTACAGAGAGGAAGGGAGAGAGATAGAGAGTTAGAAACATCGATGAGAGAGAAACATCGATCAGCTGCCTCCAGCACATCTCCCACTGGGGATGTGCCCGCAACCCAGTTACATGCCCCTGACTGGAATCGAACCTGGGACCTTTCAGTCCGCAGGCCGACGCTCTATCCACTGAGCCAAACCAGTTTCGGCAGAAACATAAGCTTTTATAAATTATTCTGGCGGGAAATTTCTCTGTAAATTATAGTTTGGATCTCATTTGATCATAACATTAAGTTTGAAATGTAACAATTCTACATCATTTCTCATATTGGAAACACCTTGCAAAAGTATTAACCAACTAATCAAATTAGATAACAATTCTGTTATATCAAATCATTTGCTGAAGAATATCAAGATGGTATATGTATATATGTCACTTTTGAGGTAATAATTATAGCTATGTGCAGTAAAGCATTTATTACCTTATCTAATTAATACACATTTTGGCATGTCAGGGTTTGCGGGTAATTATAGTTTTCTATTGCGGTAATAATTTGTATGATTTATGAAGCCTATGAAACAACACTGTGAGCCAAAAAGCTGTCTGGAATAATTATAGTTAAGCAGCGTGATCAACAGGTATGCCCAGCCAAGAGAACGCAGCCCTGAGGATAAGAACCTCAAAGAAACAGAAGCAATCTGAGGTGTTCACTTCTCTGCCTGCTTTTCTCACCTGGAAGAAAAAAAGGCCCACCCACTGTTTTCAGCTGTATTAACAAAGATCTGATTGCTTAAAAGTATATGTGATTATTTTTCAAAAGATCATGTGCTTATGTGGAGGTCTTCATAAAAAAAAAAACTATCATGGATTATATAAATTCATAATTATTTCAGGAAAGACTGAATGTAGACGCATTTATTTTGTTTTAAGACTGCCTGTGCATTCGATGGCTATTGACCACTCAACTAGAATATGAATTCATCCTAATCCCCTCAACTCTGGCCAACCCAATAGTCTCTGAGTGGCATTTTCCTACTGGAACCGACACCTGGACATATTGTCCCAGCAAGAACAGAGGATGTAGTTTGTTTCTTATGAAACTGCTTATATTCGGGAATTGACTATCACAGATACTTGAGACTTGAACAGGAGCTCAACTAGCACCATCCATATTTATACAACAATTTTCAGGAAGTTGATGGGATGTTTTAGAAGATAATGCAGGTTATGCTTTATCAGACACTACTTTTCTCTTGCTAAGTTTATTTTGACCTTCCCATCAGTCATTCTCTTTTGCTTCATCTTAATGCCCTCACGGTAGGTAATGTTTTAATTGGCATTCAGCACATATACGGAACCACAAGATACCATCTTACTTGATGAAGCAGCTGGTAAATTTCTGCAAACTGTTCTCAGTATGTGGGAACTTCTTAATTTAGTTTCATCTTTCTCAGGGAGACTAATACATTTATATCCTGTAGGAGTATATTGAATTTTTAGTTATTAATTCCAGATAAAGCCACGTTTTTACTGTTGTTTTTTAAACTTGAAGACTAAAAGGTAATGCTAGATAATACAGACAGTTCACAGCAATGTCACAGGTTATTCCACTTTAAAAGATTAATGCTAAATTATGGAGTCAGTAATCCATAGTATAATGGATATTTTGCATGAATGGGAAAATTATATTGCAAGAGAATGACAAAAGTCCTAGGAATGTTGTGGAAGGAAAATTAGAGTCCACTCAGCAGCCACCTTCACTGACCTCAACTTCATCAAGCATTTGTTTTATGGTAAGTCAAGGCTAAGAGCAGAAACAGATGAGATAAATGAAGAATTCAAATGGAGGCCTGAGAAGCCCATAGCACATACCACCCAAACCCTTGGTATTGAACTGATTCTGAACTGGCCAGTCTCTTTCACAATATAATAACAGCCATCTAAAATGAAGGTCCCTCCTTTTGACTTTCCAAATGTATTTTCTGGGGAGAAAATGGAATGGAAAAAAATAAAAACCATAATGAAGAAAAATTTATTCTTTCAAATAGGCTCTTTTTGGTAAAATATGCGTGATTTTAGGGGGATTGTATTAAAGAATACTCTTAATATTTGAGTTCTGAAGCTACATCTAGGCTCATTCTGCTGTACTAGGCAAACAGAGAGTTCTAAGTCTAGAAAGAAAAAAAAGTCTGAATTTTAAAGCATTTTTATGTAGAATTTGATGGATAAATAGTTGAGCAATTTGTGTCCAGTCTATCACAGGGCCTGGCATGCAGGAAGCTTCCAAACTTACTTGTTCCTTTCTTTCCTCCCCTCAGCCCTGACACTGATCACACACACACACATACACACACACACACGCACACACACACAGACAGACTTCCTGTGAAAGACAATGGCACCTAATAGATTTAAATCCTTTAAAAAAACAAACAAACATAAAAGGTAAAATAAAGTTCAGAAGTCCAAAAATTTATTGGGTCAAAGAGCAGAGTGTAAACAAAAGCTATGTCAGGATATAAGGAGAGGTAAGTACAGAATAAAAACACATCATTCATGTGTTTATATATTGAACAAGGGCGAACATTGTGATATAACTGAAGTAGGAATTACTTTGCGTGGTATGGATGGATGTATGCGCTCATGCACATCGAAACAAATTTACTGTTATATATATTTAATCCTATGTGAGCTATTATATATATAGTTATTAATAAAGGGTACATCTTAAAAATAGTTTTATGATTTCAAGGGCTTTTGTTGTTTTTTCATCATCATTTATTTCTTTTTATAACTATCAGCTTACTGTTTAGATTTTATTTCTTTAAAATGTGTCACTTACCAACTACTGATGTTTTTATTCAAAGATTTTATGAATATTTTAAACAAGGGATGTATCACATTTTTTCAAAATTCTAGGGTGCTTGGAAAATTGATTTATTAACCATAACACTTTGAAAATATAAAAATGACTGCTATTAAAAAATACTGATGTTATTTTCCAGAATTTTAAATTGTGGACATCTCATTTGCCTTGTCCAGTTTTTCTATTAGTTTCTTGTTTAATTGCATTATTGGGTAATGCCTTCACATGCATTAGCTTTAGGGAATAAAAGAGGGTTGAGTATGAGTGTAATCTGTATTTTGTGTCTCTGGTCCACAGGATTCTGTTGTGCTGGTTAAGCAGTGAGTGGTCCACACAGAGTATTGTTGAGAATTTGACTATCTGTTCATTCCAGGGATCGTCTTCTTTTACCTCAGGAATCAAAAGGCTCTGTTTCATTTTGTTTTGCCTTCAATAAGCTTCTTTCATAGGCGGTAGATATACATACAAAATCTTGGTGTATCTTCTAGACTTTTCCTTCACTTTGGTAGGGAAGCATTTTCTGAAGAGTAGTTCCTTGCTTTGAAGATGCAACATCTTTTGACATTAATTATTATTATTGCTCACTTTTTGGCAGTGACTCAAAACAACAAGAAGAAAAAGATGAAAACGAACAACCTAAGCTGGACTACTGACAAATCAACAAGCCTGTTTTGCAAGTGAGATGACTCATTACCATAGTGTTACAGGCCAATTCACCTCGGAGGTTCTTAATTTCATATTTTATATCCATTGACAAAGAGGTTGGGCCTGTGATAGGGTCAGATTTGAGTCTTTCCAAACTTCAGTAGATCTTTTATCATTGATGCCTATTATCATAGTGTGATTTTGGTTTGCTTTGAAAGTTTTTCTGAGATATATTCTCTACCTTCTGATCTTAGAAGTGAAACAGTGAGATGATGAAGTACTAACTATAACCAGTCACTTGGTCCTTGAAAACTCTTACTCAGTTCACCACAATGTGCTGCAGTTAGAACTTGATAATCCTCATGTATTATTAATTGACCAAATTAAATAAATAATTAAATTCTGATCTGCTGTGTTTGTTGACAACACTCACTCATGTAGTGTTTCTGTGTAATTTCATATTGGAGGGTGCCTAAACATGCAGAATGAGGTCCATAATTATGGTGATAGGCTAATTCAAAGAGATTAAAACACCTATTCCCCAATAATTTGGGTGTGCTCCATTAAACTTTTGTTTGGGAATTTTTATAAAACATAATTATATGGTTAATTGAAGTACATTTTTATCTTCCTTTGTTGCCTGACAGATTAAGTAATGTTAGAAAATGGATACAGTAAACTTTAGAAAAATGCTTTGTAAAGCAAAATATATTTTACACTAGAGGCACAGTGCATGAAAATTCATGCACTGGAGGGGGGGTCCCTCATCCTGGCCTGCCCCCTCTCACAGTCCGGGAGCCCTCAGGGGTGGAAGGCAACACGGGGATCAGGGGAAGGCAATTCCCCCATCACACCTCTGTTGCTGCCACTGCTGGCAGTGCAAGCCTCAGCTGGCCCTGGTTACCTGAGCGTTGGGGGGCCCTGGGTGGCTGGGCAGCCACCATACAAGGCTTGCCTGTGCCTCGGGCCAGCCCTGGGCGGCTGGGAGGCTGAGGGGATTGAGGGACTCCAGAGACAGATGCACTGCAAGGCTGGGCCTGCCTAAGGGCAGGCCCGGCCTTGCCATGCGCCTGCCTCCCTGGTGGCTGTGGGTGCCACCATCTTTGAGGGTGTGACAGTCAGTTAGCATATTCCCTACTTATTGGCTGTGGGGACCACCATCTTTGTGATGGTGTGAGGGTCAATTACATATTCCCTCTTTATTAGATAGGATGTTAAGATTTTTTAAAATGGCAAAACTACCTTGGAAAACAGTTTGGCAGTTTCTTTAAAAAATATAAACATAGACTTATGATATAACCCAGTGATTCCAGTTAGGGTGTTTACTCAAAAGAATGGACAACATATCTATTTTAAAAAGGTTTATACATAAATATTTATAACAGCTTCATTTGTAATAGCCCAACTTGAAACAACTCAAATGCCCATCAACATGTGAATGTATAAACAATTGTGATATAATCTCTACAGTTGACTACCACTTAGCAATAAAAAGAAATGAACTCTTGATATATAAAACAACAAGGAAAAATCTAAAAATAAGCATATTGCATGAAAGAAAATGCAAACTAATCTATAATGACAGACAGCACATTGGTGGTTGCCTGGGGATGAGAAGGAAGGAGGGGCTGCAAGGAGGGTTTATAAGAGGCAGCAGTGAGGAAACACTGTGGGTGATGGATATAGCCACTATCTTAATTTTGGTGATGTTTTTGTGGATGTATACATATGTTAGAACATAGAATTGGATGCTTAAACATTGTTAGTTTATTAGTTGGCACTTACACTACAATAAGGCTTTTTAAAAAAGTAACCAGAAAAGAGAATATATACCACATATACCCTTTTCTCATAGGAAAGTTTTTATGAAATTGAGTTTAGAAGAGCCATCATTACAATGACATGAGAGAGTTTTATGCCTCCTTAATGCCAAAATTATATGGAGATTTCCCATTCTCACCTCTTCCTCCATTGCATGGTGGGAGGCAAAACTAATTGTGTAAGACAATAATGTAGTTTCTCAATCTTATATATGGAAAAAGGTTTTTCTTAGGGGACATTAATAGCAGTAATATAATTTCCAGGCTACCATGACTTTCCTAGAACATGTCCTCAACCCATGTACTTAAGAATGACAAAAATGAAGTGCAGTATTGTTAGCATGGAAGAAAATAAGAAATTTACTTTTTATCTAAGCTATGCTACCTTATTTCTCACCTCATAGCCTGGGATTAAATTTTATAACATTTACAAAAAGTGGGGAAGGCTGTATTCAATTGGAATTGTTCTTCCAAATAATTTTGAACATATTACATTATCTTGGAAATAGAGTTTATTGCATACATTAAAAAACCTATTAATATATGTATGCACGAGCTATAACAATTCTATATTCACAAGAGCATTCAGTCAAATTATTCTAACAGTTGACAGTGATAAATAATATTTGTTTAATTACTATTATTGTTTTCTTTGTACCTCTGAGAATTTGGTATCTTTGTATAATTAAAACACTTGCAAATCAAGCAAGAGTGGCGCTTACTCCAGAAATGGCTTGAAATTATATCACTTGTCTTCTTTTCACTGGAGAGAACTTAACTTTGAAATATTTAATAATCATTTATTTGGCATTAGATAGAATTATTTTGTGTAGCTTGTAGCAGGAATTAATATTTCTCTAAAGAAAAGACAATTCATACCCTATATGGAAAGCAGTTTTTAATCAATTCTAGGTGTGAGATGGCTCTAGAATAGAAATGGGGAAATCTTTTTTTCTGCCAAGGATCACTTGGATATTTATAACATCATTCGAGGGCCATACAAACTTGTCAACTTAAAATTAGCCTTCTATATTTGGTCAAACATTTAATTAACTCACCCTTAATGCCTTGGCAGGCCAGACCAAATGATTTCTTGGGCTTTATCCGGACCTCAGGCCAGATATTCCCCACCCCTGCTCCAGAGGGAATATTTAAAGCCACGTATTATAGAAAATTCAAAATAGAATTTGCATATAGACTAAACATTATGATTATTAAAAATAACATAATTTTTATATATTCATTATATTCCAGGCATCTTTCTAGAACTTTCTACTTACTAATGTGCATAATCCACATAATAACCTTATAAGTGGTTACCCATTTTACAGATGAGGAACTTGAGGATCTGCTTGATAAAAACAAACAAACAAACAAACAAAAAACTAATTCTAGATAATCGAGCTAGTATGTCGAGGAGCCAAGATTTGAACAAATTCACCCTGACTCCTAAATCCGTGCTCTTAATCTCTATGCACAGGGTGACTTTAAAGCTTTTCTATCTTCAAATGGTCTGGACCACTGCTGTGGTGGGTGAGGTTCAAGGAATTTACTCCTAAGCAGGCAACAAGAATTGGGGCTCTCCTTTACAAACAGCAGATGACAGCTCCTTTAAACATGATCTACTAATATCTCAAGAGTATTTTCAGATGGGACCCAGTGGGTTCGCACCGATGGGTTAGATTTTTAAAAATACAATGCATTGTGTTTAGAACGGGGATTAAAGTATTTGCCAAAATGATTTGTGTTGACAAAATGGCTTAGTACACTTGGCAGATTTATTTTGGAGAATGGAATAAATTAAGGTGTCTAGCAAAAGATGTGCTACAGCTACTGAAACAATTTCAAGTATTTCAGAAGCTCTATTTTTATTCACTTTGCAAAATGTGCTTAGTTGAACTGCCAGTCCCTGTTACATTTCCATTTCTAAGCAATTAATTAAAATCCCAAATCAGTTTTTTCTTGATCATGCCAGCAGAAGTTGGTTACCATGGAAATAGGAAGATCAGTAGTATTTGGAATAGGGAGGAAAAAATGGTTTGGATTGGTCTTTTATTTTGGAAACATTAGTGATGGTCTAGAGTAGCTGGTTGGCTCCGCAGTAGGAAGCTCAGCTCCCCCAGCAGCAAGTGGGCAGCAAAAACTGAAAATTACTGACAGCCTGGGGATTACACTTCGCCCCGAGGGATATCATTTTGCCAGTTGAAAAAGTCATTAACTCAGCTTCTTTTTGTCCTCTATCTGCAGGTTAAACCCCCAAATGTAATTGATTACAGAGTATTCTATTGTGGCTAAGCAGGATTTCAAATCAATAATTGGTTATATTTTGTAAAGACCCATCAAAACTTATTTATGATTTTTTTATATGTCAAGCCAATGTGCTATAGACAGAAAGCTCATCTCCAGACAATAGCGCAAACTAAGAATGACTGCAACTGAAACCATACTTTTTACAGTTTGCAAAATGGGAGCTTATAGGTATCATCGTTGGGTATTTAATTAAAACCTAATCCAGAGGGCTACCTTAAAGACAGTACTTTAAGAAGGAAAGTATAATGGATACTATGAATATGCTTGTATTAAATTAGTACAAATAGAAGTCATTCATTGTGTTGGATACCTGAAACTAATACAATGTTATATGTCAATTATATCTCAATTTAAAAACAAAATAAAAATTTGAATTGTACCAAAAAAAAAAAATCTAAGCCTTGTTAAAGGCATAATTAGAATGGTTTATATGATAATAATGAAAATAAAAACTTTCAGCATTTATTAAGGATTAAGTATGTGCCAGGCACTGTTATTAGTATTTTGAAAGTATAAACTCAATGTTTCTTAACATCATGAGGAAAGCCCTAATATTCACAGATGCACAGATTGTTGTACATGATTGGAACATATCGGTGTGAAAACATTCTGTACTTTCATTTGTTCCTCATTAAGCTGTCTGTGCTATCAGATGGTGGGTAACAATTTTGCACTACCCTAATGTTATATAGGTCCTATATGAAAATTTATCTTTGTTAGCTAACATAATATTAAAATTATTAGAAAAACTAAGATAGTAAAGAGAAAGAAGGAGCAAATCAGGATTTCATGTATTTTTTCCAGCATGAAACCTTCATGTAGAAATTAGTCTATAAACATCAACAGAAGATCCAGTCTATATATGCAGATAATAAATAGGAAAATGGGAATTTTTCAGTAAAATTTTTCATTATTGCTGTAGGCAGTCAATATAATGTTGCCATGTATGTCTATTAAATGCTATTACATTTTTTTCATAAAGTCTTCAAGGCATATCTACGTGTCTTATGCCTATAAATATTTTATAGTGATAATGATTTAAGATGGGTGGTAGTTTTATCAGCCAATATGTGGAATAAAAAAAAAAATAGCCCTGGCAAGGTGGCTTGGTTGGTTGGGACCTCGACCCATACACCAAAAGGTATGTTCAAGGCCTGGTCAGGGCACATACTAGGTCTCAATTTGGTCCCCAGTGGTGGTGCTTATGGGAGGCAACAGATCGATGTTTCTTTCTCACATCAATGTTTCTCTCTCTCTTCCTCTATCTCTAAAATCT